TGTTTGCTTTTCTGCTGCCTTCTGCCATCCAGCGTTAATTTCTTGATGGCAGCATGTGGGGAGACCTCACCTCCACACACCTTACCAGTGTTGGTGCCCTTCTTTCACTTGTTCCCCTCCTGTGCTAAGCAATTATATGATGACTGAACTACTGGCTTGGACTTTAAGCTTGAGCAAAAGCACACACAGAAAACTTAGTAGCTTGTGGTACTGGGTTAGCTTGACTAGATGGACTTAACTCTGGGCAGCTACTATTAAACTCCAAGCCCAACTCCAAGTGTTAGAAGGAAAGATGTTTCACATCATGGAGCAGCTTCTGCTACTCCAGGCATAGGAGATCAAGTATCTGAATGCATTTGTACAACTTCCCTAACATCATAATTTCTCTTCTTCATCCAACAATCTGACATTGAGCATAAGCACCTCATGACACATGCATCTTTTTAAGGACAGAATCATGCTGTGTCTATATTGCAAACTACGTTGAAATAGCAGTAAATGCCAAATAACACTGTTCTAAGTTAAAGTATGCATTCCCATCAGCAGAGCTTGACTGTGATCCCGGGCTCCTGTCGATCACTCGTGTCATCTCAGGCTGCTGACTCCACTTTCCACCCATTGTGGCTCTTACTCTACATGCCCTTTTGGCATAAAGAATTCCATTATCTCAATTTTCAATATCAAAATCTTTCCTAAGCCTGGGCAACAGCAGCAGCCATCAGAAATGGTGGTGTGAAAAAACCGCTTCACGTAGAGCACCTCTACATTTGTTAATTGCTGTGTTGCTGGACCATGCTGAGAGCCCGACACAGCCGTGAGAGCAACTGCTTCAGCCAGATGCTGTCCAGCAAGTAGCACACTTGGAACTAGCTTTACAAAGATTTTGGATGTGCCATTTGTGTTTCCTTGGAGCTATGATTCAATGTCATCTCTTGGTATGAACTGATAAGGCTGAAGAGTCACCCCAAGGCACACATTCCTGTTTACAGGAATACTCTACCAAAAGATGAGTTCACATCCAGGCATACACTTCCCTTCAGTGTGAAGTTTTCTGGTACAAGACCCAGATTCACCCCGAGTTCAAACTTCTTCAGTTTTAATTTAAAAAAAGGCACTTTACAAAGCCCTCAAAACCCACAAATTACAGCCCATGGTAGGAACCAGTTAAAGCAGCACATAGCTAAGAACCCAAATAAGTTTGTTAATTCCCCTTTCCCTTTCTGGCTATTCATTCCCTTGAGCTGGAACACCAAACCACGATCCACACATAAATAATACAGCTGCTGTTTCAGAGTTGATTCAACAACAGAAATCTGCATCCTCCCTCTGTGTCAGATATTTATAGGAATATTTCTGACCACCTTGCTTTGAAGTCAGAGTCACTGAAATGCAGAGGGGTGCATGCTACAATTGTAGGAAGCTCTTCCTCCAGAGGAGCACTTCCAGAAGGCCACTCTAATTGTGCAGGCGCCACTAACCCCAATAAATCTTTCTGTCCTCAGGGGACACCAGGATGAAGGGATGTTCTAACCACATCCATTTTTCTCTATTCAGACTCCTTGCAAAGCCTGTAGTGGATGTAAACATCCAAAGCCACCCTCGAGCAGTCTTCTGCTGCCCGACTGAGTGCTGGATTTAGATCACTTTTATGTAAGGGAACTAGCCATAACAGATCCTGCAATCTGAATCACTATATAAATATTTAAGCAAACAACAGGTCACTCAAGTGTTTTCTTTACTGGTGCATGAAACAACATGATGGTCCATCACGTGCTGGGATGCAATCCCAACGTGTTGGGCTAGGAACTGGTATGGGGACCCTTGTCCTGCAGTCAGGGTTGCTGCTACTGCCTCACGTGATTGTTCATCTGGAGGTGAGGGGGAAGGTCCTGGCACAGTGCTGCTACCGAAAGTGGAAGGGATCCCTTGCAGTTTGCACTCTAACCCTTTCCTCCACCCCAACCTCTAGACCCAGGGACAAGACACACCTCTCCCACTCCTCAGAAGGTAAGGATAGGGCAGGAGGCAGCAGTATGAACCAAGCACTCAGCACGTGAGCCTTGAGAGCTTGGTTCTCGGTCATGACCCTACTGCAACCTGCTGTGCCCCTCCTCTGCCTGAGATTTCCTGTATCAGCTGTCCCACTGTCACTTGTGATTTTCCATTTCCAGATGCACTTTGACTGATGGGTTGTGTGAACATACACCTGCTGAGATAAAATGTCCACCTTGAGATTCCTGGGCCAGTATCTTCGTATTTGCTTTTCTCAATGTACCACATACAGCATGATTCTTAAAAACATGCTTACTGGCGGTTTACACACTGGCAGCAGTGACACATCAGACTAGCTGGGCACTCCGTTTGCAGCAGCACTTGGAAAAGCATCTCTGGCTCCTTGCAGTCTCCTATCTGTAAATGTCACTTAATTGTCTAAGAAAAATTTGGCTGACCTTTCAATTACTGGTAATACAATAAAAGTAATGAAAGACTGTACGTGACAGCAAGTGTCACCAATACCCTTTCGTTGCCTTCTTATGCTGATTGGGAGTGCCAGGGAGAATTCACACTTGGCTCCAGGGCTTCATTTTTGTCACAGTGCTGATGAAAGAACTCACTGGTAAGAGGCCAGGAACTAGGGAAAGAAAGGAATGACCTCCCATCCTTCCCTGTCCTGACTCCATAAACAAACCCAGAAAGAGCATTTCTGAATATCTGGCAAAAAAAGGCCCTATATTCTGAGGACTTTTGTGGAACTTAGAAAAAGTCCGTAATACCTGCTTTCAGGGGTAAACATTTCTCACTCAACTGCTTTCTGACATCTGTCAGACGTTAGTCATAGTTGAGACTATTTGCAAATAAAGGTCGAGGCATATGGGCAAATCCTCCCTACCATGCAGAAAGGCCAGTACGAAGTTCACACATTGTTCTCTGCCCTTGTGAGGCCTTCATTTAAGCAGAGCCTATCTCGTGGCTTTTCCACTGAACTCAACTGCAGCTCAGTCATGGTTTTTTTTCAAGTTGTGTTTGGTATTGGATAAGGAAGACACTTGAACGGATGTTACAGCACAGCGATCTCAAATAAGAAATCCACAGTTTGTAAATTAGCTGTTAGCAGCTCTCATAAATACTTCTCAAAGTCCTCCTCCAGTAGCAGAAATAGCTGTTCACTCTCTAAACTGACAGGCTATTGATTAAGATCAGAAAGGCTTAGTTGGCAAGCTCCTAGTGCTGGTGCCTGACTCACGAGTAAGAGCTCTGTCTCTGTTCCCTTTGAGCTCGTAGACGACAGCAAATACTGATGAAGTTTTGCACTTCCTTCCCAGTCACTGTTTGAATCCCTGAAAAATAGAGACCTTCCTGGCAGAGGCTGCTGGTGATAAGATCACTTATTATCTTGTATCTTCCACAAAAATGGTTATTTATATATCAGGTGTCCTTCCTGTTGTGGAAACTTGGAATCTATATGATACTTTCAAAAAGTCTAGGTTGCATAGCCTGTTTTCAATATGTGCACTGAAATGAGTTAAAAATAATTACTACATATAGAAACTTACACTGTTAGATCTATCTAAATTCAGTAATCTGACCACAGCAGTCATTTCCAAATTAACCAGCAGAGCTATGATATTACCAGCTGCTGTGGGAAAATGTTCTCCTGGTTCCTTCACCCTCAAGACAAAGTCTGTGATTATTGCTGGAGCTGTTCACAGCTTTGTGGATACTTCCACATGAGACCTTTCTTTGTGTATTCTTTACTCTTACAGGCTAACTTGTGCATTTGTTAACTTGTTCAGGCAGTTCTTTCTTACACAGTCCTGAATAAAGTGGTAAAGTAAGTGAAATGAAAATATAATCAAGCACATTAATGTATCTCTTGCTCTTTTATACATGCACCCCCACACAAATGTCCAGTCACACACATACACCCACACTGTCTGAGTGTTCATCTTCTGTTCCTTCCTTCTGGCTTCTCAAAGACTAAAATAGTGACACGGTAGTTTCCACCATTCATGCAACTTCACTGTGTTGGTCAGTTAAAATGCCTCATGCACCAGAAAATATTCTCAAGATGGGTGGATGAGAAAACCAATCGCTCCATGACAATTTAAATAAGTTCTGGTCTTTGAATCCTGCTGATGTATTAAAGGGCAAACAAACATCTGGAATAAGTATCATCTCACTGTGACAGAATGTTCCTATTAACTGTGTCGTCTACAGGCTAATCGTTCAAGTTATTCAAGCCTCCTAACTCTCACTAAGTCTGTATAATGTTTTGTTTCGTAAGCAATTGCCCATGTTTATTCATTTCCCTATCTAATTAATTTGCACTTGCAAAAAATAACGGGAGGCAACATTTCAATGGTCACATAATATCCATAAGAGAATTAATTCCTTTTATACAGGATCTAACTTATACAAGAAAAAAAGGGAGCTGTGGGCTTTTGTGCTTCCCCCCCCCCCCCCCCAGTATCATACTTTCAAAATCAAGAAATTGCATACACACATTGTACCTAAGCAAATTTACCAAATAAGCAAATATTCAGTATGCACACCCAAGCATGTTCTGTTGGCTAGCTATAAAACTAACTTGATACTTGCTAATGTAAAAAACTGGATATAAGGAAAGTATTTATGTGAAACTAGACGTTCAAGTTTTGAACTAAAAAATAACGGAGATAGCATGATTTTGTACACAACAAATGTACACAACAAATCCCAAATATAATGCAACATCTGCAGTTTCTATAAAAACTATTTCAAAAAGCACAAAGGGATATGAATATCCAAAAATTCTTTAAATACTCAACCAACCATCAAGGCATTATTTTCTTTAGTTACATAATTCTTCATCATGAGCTGGGGAATCTGTGGCCAAGGGGCCACATAAAGCCCATGAATTCACCACCTCTGTAACCACATTACTTTTTCCCACGTTATTACTGATTAACAGAGAGGTATGCATTAACTGGTAGCCAACCAAAAGTGTTCAAAGGGCCTACCTCATTCTTGGCAAGGACGAGTTCTTCATCGCAGAAGTAAATCTGAATATGAGCCTACATTTCACAGGACAGGATATCACAACAGTATCCCGGGATTCTCAGGAAGTCTGACGTTATCTTGTCAGTTATTTAAAAGCCAAGGCTCTGAGTCTGGAAGATATTTTTTGCTAATTTCAGTAATTAACTGAGTCAGCTGGGAAACACCAGGCTGGTGTTTTCCAATGCTCTAGTGTGGTGGAGGAATGCAGGAAGATGCATCTGTCAGAAGCTTCAAGCAGGCAGGTGACTCGGACCGGGAAGTGACTGCTTCGTTACCAATGGAAATCCTGGCAGATCGTTCACTGTACACACCTTCAGGACGATGCACTACTGCCAACTCAGGCAATCATAAAATACGACACTTCCGAGAACAAAATTAATTTTAGTATCTGTCCAATATACGCATTTTGTTTTGTAAGGTGTATTGGGTTGGCTATTGGCTGGACCTGGGGCCAGAGCTGGAGCAACCTCACATCTGTCAGGCTGCTGGATCTGGCTGTACTCACCTACCAACATAGCTCTATTTGCCAGTCCTTCTTAGATGCTGGGGTTTTTCCTGAGCTTGTACTTCTAAAAAATGGAAATAACAGGAAATTTTGCATTTATTCTGGTGGAAAAGTCTTCCAAGTATTACCTAAAGATCATTTGTCCAGAAGGGTTTATACCACACTACTCAGGTGTAACAGCACGCAGCTCGTGTCCCCATTTAGTTATCCAACTACAAAACGTACTTGTAGAAACAAGCTCTTGAACCAGGGCACTTCTTGGATTACAAAGTGCAGAAAATTACAGTATCTGTGTGGACAGTGAGGCTTCTGGGCTCATTTACAGACTAAACCCCCTCACCCCCAGCTGGGGCAGGAAAGGGGTTTGTGTGGTACAGAGCTCCTGAAGGAACTCCAAGGCAAACCAAGGCGAGGGGAACAGCAGCACCACAACTTTTTGCCCTATTTAACATTCTCAGCCACCCCGGCTGCCGGTGCGGAGGGGCTGTAGACCGAAGGCAAGGCAGAGCCTGGCTCAGAGTTCCCTCCCTCAGCCGCCATGACGGGAACCGAAGCCCAGCCAGGGCCCAAAGCCCTACTCCACAGCGCAGAGCCCAGCAGCCCGCGGAGGGGACCGAGGCAGCGGCCACAGGCCGGAGGTGGGACGGCGAGAGCCAGGACCGCCCGAAGGAATCGTCCCGACGCCCTCAGCCCTCAGCCCTCAGCCCTCAGCCCTCAGCCCTCAGCCCTCAGCCCTCAGCCCTCAGCTCAGCGCCCCGCCCCGCCCCGCCCCGCCCCCTCGGCCCGCCCCGCCCCTTCCCTGCCTGTTTATCCACAGGCTGTGCACGTGGTAGCTCCGCCGCGCCATTGGCCGCCCCGCCGGGGAGCTGCAGCCGCTCTGCCAATCGGGGCGCTGTCCACGCGCAGCCGCCCGCCTCCGATTGGCTCCTCCGCGGTGATCACGCAGCGTGACGCACTCCCAGCGTGCGCCCCGCCGAAGGACCAATGAGGATGGGGGGGGGGCCCAAGGGCGGCCCGCGGCGAATAGTAGGGCGAAGAGCAGAGCGGTGGCCAATGAGGAGCGGGACGGGGCGGGACTTTCCGCTGCGGGGCGCTGGCGGAGACGGGCGGGTTTTAAAGCAACCGTCGACGGCAGCCGGAGGCTTCACCCGGAGCCGGGGAGCGATGGCGGCGGCCGGGCCGGGCCTGGGCCCCGGGGCCGGCGGGGCGGTGAAAACGCTGGCCCTGGTGCTGGAGGACGAGGCCCGGCGCGGCGGTGGCGGCTGCTACTGCAGCGGGGACACGGTGTCGGGCCAGGTGCTGCTGGAGCTGGCGGGACCGCTGCCGCTCCGCGGGCTGCGCCTCGAGGCGGCCGGCCGGGCCCGCGTCGCTTGGAGCGAAAGTTCGGGCTCCGTCCCTGGGGCGGGAACCTGGGGGCTGACGGTGAGGGCGCCGGGGCCAGGGCCGCGGCGGGAGGCGGAGGTGCGGTACCTGGACATCCGGCAGAGCCTCCTGCGGGACCCGCCCGAAGGTGAGGGGCGACCGGGGGGATGCGGGGGGGAGGCTGCCCGGCCGCCTCGGCCACAGCGGGGGTGGGACCGGCGATGTGGGGAGGGGACTGGCGCCTCCTTCGCGGGGGAGGGCGGTAGGGTAGGGCTGCGGGGCCAAGCCCGCTCCCCGGGGTAGCGGCGAGGACCCCCCCCCGGGTCCCAGGTTTTTGCAGAGAGGGGGAAGGCTGAGGGTTGAAACCCTCCCCCGAGGAGAAACCGGTGTCGGAACGGGGATGCTGAGAAACGGCATGAGGGCAGGTTTGATGCCCGGCCAATGGGGACAGCATTCCCGCACTGGAAACCTCGGGCTTCACGTGTGTGGCCGGGGAGGCTCCCTGCAGCTTCATCAAGCAGTCACTCGAGTTGTTGTATAAACGGCTGAAAAATGCGGAGCAGGGCCAGAAGAAAGCCTGCAGCTCATAGTTACCTACACTCTGCGTTGGGTTCCTGCAGAGGTTAGCTCTTCTGTGAATTACGTCGGGCACCTGGCATGCTCGTTGTGCTCTGTAAGCAGCACCTGGGAAGCTGCCCGTGGAAGACACCCAAAGCAGTCGGCCTCCTTTGGCAGTGGCTTAAGAAAGCAGAGGAAGCTCTTTGCATAGTTCTCTAACTGGCAGTTTTGTCACTTGGATGCTGCAGCCCTATGGCAGAATGGAAAAATTAAAGAGAAGTGGCATTTTGTTCTGTAAGGGCGAAATGCTTCTCAGACTTACCTGTAGGAAAAGTAAATGTAGGCCTCTGTACTAGTAGGCACTCTATGAATGTATTGAGATTACGTATAGTACTTCATAACACTGACCTTAAATTGCAGCTCTTTAGCACACAAGTTAGTTTAACTATTCATTGAAAAAGCAGATTAATTGCTGTCCTGCTGTAAAGGAAAAGAAACTTACTTTAGGCTTTCCAGAAGCCATTTTGGATTAGAAATTGGCCAGAGTCCTGAACTGAAACTCCAGGTCTCCATGTTTCCTTGATTTTTTTCACTGAAATCACATCACAGCATAAATAAAGCATGGGCTCCAATCCAGAACCCACTGGGATCAAGAAAAACTTCTCCAAGTCCCTTACATCTGGGTGTTGTTATACATAAATAATTTATAAAAGCATCTGCTTTGTTCTTCTATTTATGGAATAACTAAAACATACTATTCGTTTTTATCTTACAGGTGAGGAAAGCTTAATTCTTCTAGATGGAAGACATGAATTTCCGTTCAGCTTTCAACTCCCTCAAGAGTAAGTTAAATAATCCAACCTGAAGGGATTGTGCTAGACACTGCTTGTTGTGCAACATTAATTTAATTGTAATTTGACTTCAGTTTTTTTTAATATCAAACTGATTGATTGGCTTTATATGCTTGTCTTAATCAACCACCACCTAGATGTGCCTTGTTGGCCTCAGTTTCCCTAAGGCCCTAAAAATACAAGCTGTAAATTGGAAAACATGTATGTACACGGGAAGTGTCCATGTTTGGGACTGAATTATAAACCTACAGTAAAGTTTTCATGACTGCTTGTTTCAGACCTCTGGTGACCTCTTTTACTGGGAAGTATGGCAGTATTCAGTACTATGTGAAAGCAATTCTGGAGAGGCCTGCAGCACCTGATCAAAGTGTACAGACAGAGCTCCAGGTCATCAGCCATATCGACGTCAGCTCACCAGCTTTATTGGTAAGAGGGTCCTCCACTCCTCCTCCCCCCTCCCCCCCCCCCGTAAAGCCAGCTGCAAAAAAATAATAATTTCCAAGAAGCATTCACATCAAGCCATAACCATTTCCATGTTATTCTGGAGTGTCATTTTCTGACTTCTGAAAGCATATAAGCTCCCTAAGCTTTTCTCTATAAATAGATGATCTTAGGTTGTGTGAATAGCAAACAGAGTGGCTTTTTTTAATACCATTGATTACATCCCTGCTGGCAGAGATGCTCTTGCCAAAAAGTTATGCAGGCTTCAGATGCATAAATAAGGCTTAATAATAATAATGCACAAGCATAAAGTAGTTACTCTTACCAGAGCAACTACATTCATAGGGCTGCAGTGTCCTAAACTCTACAATAATAGTAGGTTGAGGAACAGTAATTATAGAAGAGTATTAATCATGCCCATCCTGTCATTTATGCTTTGGCCATTATGTTACGTATCCTTCCATTTTGCATGTCGTTTTCTAACATTAAGTGTGTGCATGCAGCTGCTTCAGAGATCTTTTCAGTTATTTCCTTATGACAGATTTGGCCACATTAAAGCATTGAGTTTCTAATAATCACTAGAAATACTGTAGAGTAATAAGAAAGATCAGGCATTAAGTAATGAGAAAATAGGCAAGATGGAAGCTAATGAGCTGGATTCTTTTATCTCAACCCATATTACGAAAATAATATAAAATTATACCTTGCACTTTCATGATAGCAACTGGATCTAAGTGGTTATTCATTTAAATATGAATGAGTAATTTCTATTTTATTTAAAATGCTAGGATAATTTTAACATTTCATCATGATGTGAACGTAGCTAAGAGATGTTTTGAGCAGGGTTTTTTTCCCTCTTTATATGCTTACATTTTAATCTTTCTCTCTAGACAGAACTTGGAGAAGTATTTTGGCAGTGACATCTTTAAGCAGAATGCAGTCGTTATATTCCACTGTGTACGTTAGGGGAATGAAGACAGCATATCCATATACTGCAAGGATTGAGTAGACCGTATGTTATTGCACAGGAGAGAGCTGTGGGGCACATAATGTAGACAGTGCTGGTCTTAATGGATTCCAAGGCTACACCAGAAAAGTGCAAAACACTAGAAATTTTAGACTTCATAATTGCACTCACTGGGCACTAGTGCCTGGTAAATCATTTTAAGTCACTTGACTCCTGGCTTGCAGCCTTGACATGTGTGCTTGTATGTTTTAAGTTTATTCTAGTGAAAACATTACAGACAGTGTAAATGTCATCTAATGTGACAGTCCTCTGAAAAATTAAGATGGGTTTTGCCATGAGCCTAAATTTTTGGGGGGCTTTGTGGCTTGCAAGTTATGAAGATACATCACCTTAGCTCAGTGTGTATGCGTTTGTATCTTCTTATGAAAGGTACAAAGGTAAAAACAGTTCACCTGCTTAACTGTTTGCTGCTTGCAGATGAAATTGAATCTGCATTCTTCTGCACCAAGGAACATAAATACCACAGTACTCCATTAGACCTTTAAAAAGTCACACGTATAAAATCTGCAAAATCAGTCTTTTTGAAGACAGATTACGTTCAAATGCACATTGGTCTCTGTGTTACCTAGCTGATATGGTCTCAATGCAGACTGGGATTTTAAAACAGCCATATGTTCACATAGCCAAACCTTGGTTCCATTTTACATGGTGGCAAAACTCCAGTTGCATTGAGTAGTACAGTGATTCAAATCAAGTGGATTTTAGGGCTAGATTGCAATGACTGATATGCATAACATTAAATAGCAAGTGATCAATAGTTTTATGCCATAAAATGAAAAATACTCTGTATTTTATAGACACCTGTTCTAAGAAGTCAGGAGAAGATGGTTGGCTGTTGGTTTTTCACCTCTGGGCCAGTGTCTCTCAGTGCCAAAATTGAGAGGAAGGGATACTGTAATGGTAAGAGTAGTTATCTTCAAAACGTGAATATTAAACATCTAACGGGCATTTTTATCTCAGTGAAGCCAACACTTTATAGCTGAAAGAATAGTTCCATTTAGTAGGTCGTAAACTGAGATCTATATGAACTTGCTTTGACAAGAATCATCTTGCTGTTCCCCTCACTCCTTCCTTGGGAATATAAATTCAAAGGAAGTCGGTAATCTTCTGGAAAAGCCATGTACATTTGAGTGTAAAGAACAACAAAATACTTTTATTTGGGTAAAATACTTAATTGAGGATGTAATCAGGATTTTATGTCCTGTTTGTGTAGGTTTATGCTTCAGTAAAAATAAGATTTAGCAGCTTCTTTGTCATCTTGATAACATTAGATATATTGAGGAAATAAAATAAAACATTCTGAAATTCAGTTAGTACTATATAAAAGGAAGATTGGTGCATAATTTGCAAATAAAGTGTTTATAGCTTGTTCATATTATGCTTAAATGTTTCAAAATGAATCATTGTTTATACGTAAAACATAGTAGGTGGCTATAATTCTGCCTGGATACCACTCTGGAAAAAAAAAAAAAACCTAGCTTGAGGAAACTAACAAGTATTGTTCTCATAACATTGCAGATGATGTACGTGCTGTATAACATGCTTTGATGCTCCCAGAGGAAAGTTGGTAATTACAAATTATTCACTGAACTTTTTCTGTCTTTAAGGGGAAGCCATACCAATCTATGCAGAAATTGAGAACTGCTCTTCTCGTTTGATTGTTCCAAAAGCTGCCATTTTCCAAACACAAACTTACCTGGCCAGTGGGAAGACAAAAACTTTCCGTCAGATGGTTGCCAATGTCCGAGGAAACCATATTGCCTCTGGGAGTACAGATACCTGGAATGGGAAAACCCTGAAAATCCCACCTGTATCCCCTTCTATACTTGACTGCTGTATTATTAGAGTAGAATATTCATTAGCTGTAAGTATGGATTTTTATTACAAATGTACATACTCTTGAATACTACATTGAGCTGGGAACAAGAATTTTCTCTGCTAGGCAGCTATTAGATTTTGAATTTGGGAACAACAATAAATATAAATAAGTATCAAATACCATGTAGGTGAGAGCCTGAATATCATGAAGAGATTCTGAAATGGAAAGATGTTTTCTGAGGAAGAAGCAGCTTAGTTTTAGAGCTCCAGAGGTTATTTGGGGAAAGTAGTTCAAGCTGAATGGGTCCTCTAGCAATTCTTTTCAGAAATGGGAAGGTAGGACTGAAAGTCAAGTGCATAATTATTTTTGTCAACCTGTTTTGTATTTTTTTTAATCTTGTTTAGAGACAAGGTACAGCAAGATGGTAGTTGCTGGGAAAAAAGGAAAGCTGCCAGAGTAGTAGCTAAATATATCTGGGATGAGAAGTCTTTAACTTTTAAACAATCTACAGTGTAGGCAGTAGGGTTGCTTCTAGCAGCAGCAATTCAATGGGGTCTCATGATGTTTTTTTCTTTTATTTGGGGGTTGTCATATAGGTGTATATCCATATTCCTGGTGCTAAGAAATTGATGATTGAAATGCCTCTGGTGATTGGCACTATTCCATGTATTGGATTTTCAAGCAGAAATTCCAGCATTACCAGCCAGTTTAGTATGGATATGAGTTGGCTGGCATTGACCATGCCAGAACACCCTGAAGGTAATACATATTGAACTCTTTGTAATACAGCATAGTACTGTCTGCAACAGAAGGATAGTAAGGCAAGTTTAAGGGCATATTAGGGATGTACGCCATTAAATTATGACTCATGAGAAGTGAGGCATGTAAATCTAAGTCAAGATCATAAAGGATTGGTGAAGATACCTTAACTCCAGCCTTTTGTAAGTCTCTCTTTACCTCTGACTACTTTCAGCTGAGTCTTGAAATAACTAACTTCTAATAGTGAGAATTCTGCTTTGGAGGTAGACACCTTAAAGTTAATCATTACTGAATATATCTTGATACAACACAGGTTTTGCTGGAGTAGCCCTGAAAACATCTGTCGTGTTTCTGCTGAATAGCCTAAGCTTATTAAAAACATAGTTCTAGTTACAGTATTTGAGTATAGTGTGCTTCATACAACTTTACAATAGTACAATGTTTAGTAAAAACAATCTTCATGGTCTTGGATATAGTAATACATATGTTGTCTTGCTGTGAGTGAGTATTTTCAAAATTTGACAGTGTCATCCCTTGTGTTTCAGCACCACCAAATTATGCTGATGTAGTGTCTGAGGAAGAGTTCTCCAGACATGTTCCAGCTTATCCACCACCAATTGACTGTGAGGAACAATTGTGTTGTCCTGTCTTTGCTTACATACAAGAGTTCCGGTTTCAGCCTCCACCTCTTTATTCAGAGGTAAAAAAATAAACAGCAGGTGGTGTTTTTATTGTCAAATGGCAAAAAAAAAAAACCAACACATACAGAAATGCAAGAATTATAGACAGTAACTGTTGCCTTTCTTCTCTGTAGATCGATCCACATCCAACTGATGTAGAAGAAGTTCAGCCTGTTTCATTCATGCTCTAAAGAGGATTTGTAATGAGCATCATTGTGATGAATGTCTTAATCTTTCTGCTGCTTAAGCTGATAGTGCAGCTAAGAAGGAAACAGTTTTCTTTTTCTAAACTTAAGTTTGTATACAAGAAAGGCAAAGGAAGATCGAGAGGGAGGTATGAGCATGTTTGGTGATGGAAGAGGATCTGCTGGATCAGTCTGCACAGAGGATATTGTAGGAGCAGCTACACTTGGGATACTTGAAGTATCTGAAAATACTGAAAGCTTTCTAAAAAGTGGATATACTACATAAAGTACAAGGAGGAGATGTAAGGCTCTTCTGAAGAGAAAAGAATTTATATTTTGTTTGGAACACTCAAAGAATTTATGTAATGATGTTGAGAACTTCTGTAGTAGGACTTGCGTAGTAGAACAGAATATGGGGTAAAAAAACATTTCCAAAAGATTCCAGTGTTCAAGGGGCTTCAGTTTTGCACTGTCTGCATCCAAGAAAGGAACGCTACTAAAATGTGGAGTGAAGTCTTCACTTAAGCTAAACTTTGTTTTTCATGAGAACCTGCCCTTCTAACAACTGCCAAGCGGTACTATTTCATCATTCATAATGATTCCGAAGACATCATGGATGACAGAATAGCTATTACGCAATATTATGAAGGCAACCATTTACTGAATGAAAGACACAAGTATGTAAAAGAAAATTGAACTTTGATAAGAGCTTATGCACTATGCTTTCTTTCAAGGGATTTCTTAAGGGAATTATTCTAGCCTCTTCTACTGTGAGTTCTTTTTCTGCATCTTAAGCCTACGGATAGCATGATAAGGGGAAGCATGGCAGGGGAGAATCCTTTTGCCAACAGCAGGTATACTTAGCAAAATGGACAATACTTATTTATTCAGAAGCCTTTATAAGCCTACCTCTGTTTTGGATATTTACTTACGGTCAGATTTGAGACCAAAAAAAGTCTTGTTAAAGCTCCAGTATACTTCAGGGTTCTAAAAGGGACCCTAAATGGTTTCTGTGGTTAGTGAATGAGATAGGAGGCGTATGGAGAGGTGTAAATATACCCAGAATATACATAGCTTATAACTGAAGTGAAAGCAGACATCAGGGGAACAAAATCCTCTGGTAATGGCACAAAGCTTTTCATTACTCCTGCATTTTTGTCTAGAGATCTATTGTCAGGGGCTGCACTGGTCATTTGCTATCCATACTAATTTTTGTTACTGTGTTTCCTTGTTTGTTTTTGCTGTTTAATTTTGTTTTGGTGCAATATTTTAATGTTTTCTTCCTCAGGTCATTTAGAACAGTGAGAGTTTGTTGCTGCTAAGAGTGAAGGCACAGCATTTTACTTGGCCCTTCTGCTGCCTTCATTTAAAGTAGAATGTTTGCTTCCTGCCAAGCATCAATTGGAATAAGTAAGCCACCATCAACAGATCACTTAAACGGAGCAGAAACACAGCATTCTCAAAACACACGTTTACAGTCAAGTCTCTAAACTACAGGGGATTTTGAACTATCATAACTATTCCATATGTCTTACAGAAGGGTTTGGCGTTAAAACCCGGTGCTTCATGTGGTAAAACATTGTACTTTGATAACTACAAGAACAGTAATTAAGTTTCCTCCATTTCATCAATAACTGCAGTTAAAAAAAAAATATATGAACTTTTAAAATTAAATCTGTCTTCATTTAAGAAGCAGGGACTTTTCTACAGGCTTACACGGATATATATTTTTAGTCTTCTTTTAGTATGACTTCCGATTTCTAGCACCTCAAGTCACTTACATCAGTGTAAAAGACCTACTGATTGAGATACTCATTTCCAAACTGCAGTTATTTTTTTTTTCATTTGCAGCTTTAAATACTGTCTTCTATAGCAAATGCAGCTTTAACCAAAATCTGAGTGCATGTTTTAGAAAGGACATTCTAAAAATGAGTATTTACCTTAAGTCTCAAGATGTAGCTCTCATGCCTTTTTATTTAAGTGAGGGCATGCCCATGCAATCAATGCAGGATTTTCATTCACATCACCTGGAAAGGGAACAAGCATAGTTTCCTTAAATAGATCCATTATAGCTACTTGAAAAGTAATGTGGCTGTGTATTAACTTGCATGTCAATAATTCAGAATACTAGCTTAAAGAACATTAGGTGCTTTTTGGACTGTAATACCTGATAGGTGATGTGTGCTACCTGGTATAAACATGGTCAAGCAAATGAGCATGAAGGGTAAAGTGCTTTTTTTTTTTTTTTTTTTTTTTTTTTTTTTTCTTCCTCCTGTTTTCCCTAAAAATCTTTGAGGAGTTTATTATTTGCAGATAAACTGTGGCCTTAGATTGTTTGCTGCAAAAAAGACAACTAGAATGTGTTTCTTAGGAAGCACATGTGGCCCTTCAAAGGAGGGGTGAAAACGAGATCAAATTCTGCTCTCTGACACGGGCTTAGTGCAGAAATTGATCCTTAAAATAATTACTGTTTGCACAATAATAAGTTCAATATGCAGGGGCTTTGTTTTGATAACTGTGAAACAGTTTAAAAGAGACAAAATAAAAAAAAAATGCTGTTTAACATACAGGAACATGATTGTATTTTGTACTAATGAATGAGCCCCATGGGTTCTTTGTTAATAAAAGTGTCAAACCTACACCCTGCTGTTCATATCTCTTTTGGTGTCTCTGAAGAAAAATGGCTGAACTGTCAAGAAATACCTGTATACTACCAACTTCAAACACATAAAGATCTCCTAATATTTTCTGATCTGGGAACTTTGCTTTATCTGTTATTTCTTTAGTTCCCTGCACTATCCATAACCAAGACTTGGAACAAATTTATCAAACCTGGCCTGTTCCTACCCATAGTTATTATGTAACACACATGACTTAATTGTGGGTATCTTACCCTAACAACTGAAGTGGCAGGATGTGTGCTCTAAGTGGATTTCCCATCTCATGTATTAATGCTACAGGATACTTTGTGTTTCCTTTAGACAAGATTATCTTCACTGTGTAGTTCATTGATTTAAATACATCAGAACAACCTTACTACCATTCCTACAGAATGACCAAAGCAGACTCCCTCCCACCATGGGGAAACATGACAAATTGTATCTACCACGTAGCTCACCTAAGCCAGAAATGAGATGGTGAAATCTCTTGTTGGGGTCCTGCCATCCAAACATCTGAGAAACAACAAACATGACTCATAGAAAGGAAGATGGCAAAACCTTATATTCTGGTCTTGGATTTCTAAAAAGTCGCTTACTAAATGATCCTAAAATACCCTATCACTAAGTTCACAATAGCAATTCTACTTCATCCACACTTAAGTTTTATAGGAGACTACTGCTGACAAACTGTAATTGTCTATTAAAATATATTTAGTGTTTAAACAAGTAGTAGATTATGTACTCTGGCATACAGGGATAAAGCAGATACTGCAGGCTGGTGTTTGCAGCTCTGAAACTTTGGATGTTTGTATGGAAACACATAATTCACATATCAAATTAAGAGAGATCATTTAATCAACTCCTGGGGCATGTTCCATTACTCCACCACCCAATTTGAACTCCCTTTGTAAAATCTCTACTATATACATATATATATATCAGTAAATAAGTGTTTGGAGAGCACAGTTTGCAGACAAAGTTGATTTAATGATAATCAATTCCTCTACTATCTCCAGAAAAAACCCACAGCAGAAACACCTACTTTCTAGTAAAGTTCCACTGATTTTCAGTACTCTCCTTAGGATAGTGACAGCACAGGGATGTAGAAACTGGCTTGCAGACTGTTGCATTTTCTAAAGCTGATTATATAATATGTTAACAGCAATATGGATAGTACAGGCCACTGCACAAAGTAGATTCTCTAAAGAACTAATTAGGTCTATGATGAACCCAGTCATTCACTTTTAATATTGAAATTTTATATGTGGCATAGGCAGAGTGACAGTCTTATTCCAAATTATGTAATGGTCATAATTTCTACATGATTAATATGACATGATAGTACACAAAAGCTGTACTAGAACATCACCACATTACTGGCATTTTAGGACAACAGACCAATACCAGTAAGTCAAAAGAACAACGCACAGTTTTACGTGGAATGCAAAATGGCAACTCAAGTAGGACTTCACCAGAGTAGCTGCTTATGCCAGCAACATGCTGTGGGCCTTCTTAGTTACACAGGACAGACTCTATCTGATTAAGTACAATTGTATTACTGATAAATCTCTGAGCACCCATCCCTTCAAAAGAAAAGAGGAAATCCTTCTTAGTTTTGGCTTACATGCAACCATCTGGCTGCCTGTAGGGTGAAGAGAACACGAAATGGAGGGTGGAAGTAGGAGCAAGTGCTGGTGCTTGACAGACACCTACAAATAGATTGCTTCAAATAATGTGAAGAATGCAGAGCAGCCCAAAACATTTTTATACAAATACACAAGATACTTGCTGTGTCAGTTGATGGCAGAGTTTCTTATTATTTGTGGTCTCAAATCACAAGTGACTGTGGTCAGATTAAGGATACCTAAGGATCGTGTCAGACATATTTTTACTTAGCACTCAGCAACTGTGACAGCCTAATAAAAACCATCACCCAAACATCAGACCAGCCCTTCTGCTTTGCTCCTAGCTCTACTCAGTGTCCCAGACCTCTGCGGACACCCTTGCTCTGCTCTCCCCTCTCCAGCAAAACGGCTCGTTGATACTTTGCTTGTAGCCCAGGCCTCAGATGGAAGTCTCTGTAGGCTCACACAGATGAGGAGAGCAACATAAAGACATTGGTGAGAATGGTACACAGTTATTGGTGTAGGCATTATGGGATGGAAGCTGGATGAGTGGGGAAATGGGGTAGATATGGAAAGGAGAAGTGGTCGGTGTCAGGCGGGGGACACAGACCCAGCAGTGAGCAGTCCTTGGGGAGGGGATTTAACCTGAATTCCAAAACCAACCAACCGCCCTCGACTCTTTTTACTGGCAGGACTTGGTATCAGATGTGACACACAATGTGCGCAGACAGGATGCAGATATGTAGGCTAAACCCAGCCAATTATTTTTGGCTATGAAAAACTCTCATTATCTTACAGAGCCTTGGAACAGCATCAGCCTCACCATAAATTAGGCACCGGGCACAGAGAGAGGTGGCTTGCCACTGACTGTCACAGACAATAACAGGAGGTGATTGTACCTGTATTTGAGTACTCAGTTGTGTCATACTTATATACAAACACAAAGGCTTTTCCAAAAATGAGGATCATATCTTGCATGTGTATAGTAGCAGCTTCTTACAAATTAACTTCAGGAGATCAGACTGTAATCACGACCTGACCGTCTGTCATACACATTGTCAGGTCAGACCTCGCAGTGCCTGTGTGTTGTGAACAGCCCTACCTCAGCTTTGGGGAACACAAACGCACAGTCTCCCTAGTGCTGCTTCACGGAAAATGAAAGAGTAGGTGTAAGAGCTGATGGTGGGAACTGAAGCGCGGGCAACAAGGCAACAGTATTTTGGCTGCAAGGTTTTAAACAGGATTGTTGCACACCCAGAAAGCTCCCAGGTTCCTGTATAGGCCAGTCATATATGATGTCACTTCTAGAATCAGGTTGTGTCAGTCACAACATATCAGCCCACAGCATGAGGAGAAAGTGATTCTTATTGCTGAACTAATTAGATAAATCAATGCACAAAAGACAGCACGAGTGACAAAAAGTTACATTTTCATTTAAATAATTGAAGCCCTGAAGTGCTTTTCTCCTATGTCTTAATGTGATGTGACCAATGCATTAGCCTTAACAGATTAGAAAGATACTAAAATGGAAAATATTCTGCTGTCCTAGGTGTAAAATGAGAGCAGAAAGGAAAAAGAATTAACTGATCAGACAGATTCTCATACTACAGTGTCCTGGAGGAGAAGCGTCTGAGAGGGTTTAGTGTCCATACAGACCTATCAAGTTTTGCATGCTGTGTGCAAGGCTGGTACCACTTGCCCCAACAGCAGCATTTCAGCATCAGCACATCTCTCCCTCACTCTGAGACCCTAGAGCAGGCTGGCCTGATCCAGTATCTGCAAGGCAGCAATCAGATCTGCTTAGCACAAGGGAGCAAGATCAGAAAGTAAAGCCGTAACGCGAAGGGGCCCTCCCAAGCTGCAGCCAGTCCCTCTCCCATCTCACGGCCCAGAGCAGCTGGGCTGTTGTCTGCAAGGACGTGAGTTTACACGCGAACAGCACAACCTGCTCCTCTGACCCCATGCAGGAGTCTCACACGTCGGGGACAAAGAATTTGAGAGGTCTGTTTGCAGGAGGTGTTAAATAGAAAGGTCCCCAGGAAGGGCAGCTTCGCAGGGTTTTTCTCATGTGATCCCACCTGCCATCGCTGGGAGAGGACTTTACACTCATCCAAACAAATTAACAATTCATTTCCAACCCTGACATGAAGATTAACCCTGCCAATTAATTCCTTAATCTCTTGCTGCCGACAAGGCTCACAGTTGCCATGTGGATGCTTGTCCATTGGGGCCTGAAGCAGGGCCATTCTGTTTAATTAATGCTGCATCCAGGATATGGTGTAGCTAATATTCAAACCTATTCCAGCTATACAAACCAGAGCTGTATCTCACACTTCACTGATGCGCCAGACAGTGTTTGATGGATACCTCAAAAAGGGCATAGATTATCTCAATGCTTATGGCAGCTTTTGCTGCATAAAAGAGATACATTAACCAATACAGAGTCATTTAACCATCATATAGTTGCAGAAAATGCTTCTTGGTCATTTCCATGATAGACATGATAGCATTACAAGTTCAACTGGATTGAAAGGTTTTTTTAAGATGGTTGTAGGAAGTAGTCAAACTTTATGATGAGCTAGTGCCATGACAACAGCAGCCTCCAGTTGAAACACAGGCATGTGTTGCTGCATTGGGAAAGGAGTCCCCCCAGCTTTCTGGCAGAGAAGAGTTTCTCCCTTCATTTGCAGGTTTGTGTGCCTGTGACAAAGAGACAAAGAGAAGTGGAGAAACAAGATGGAAGTGAGAGCAAGCAGCAGGTCCACAGCCTTGAGAAGAGGACAGGGGGATCTTTTGGGGGCAAAGCACTGCATGCAAAGCATTTGGATCCACGAGCGCAGAGACAGACTCTCAATATGCAGCCACATTCAGAAAAACAGCATTTTACACATTTCCAGCAAGCAGCAGAAAAAGAAAACTCTACAAATTTTCTTCTTCCTCCTGCCTAAAATAACTGACAAGATGTTGGGTTTTGGCTCAGTGCTGTAAGGAGAAGGGGTAGCTGCACTGCATGAAGAGGCTGCTTCAGGAAAGAGAGGTTAGATGTGATCTGAATTGACAGGAGCTGGGAAATGTGTGAAGCACAAGAAAAAGGGAAAGTGATGCTCAGTCACCTCAAGGGCTCTTTGTAAACCACCTACAACAAATTGGGTCAATTTTCCTTTGTTTCTATAAGTTTTGCCATATATAATTAAAAAGACACCGCCCATTAAGGTGTTTTACAAAGTTAACTAATACTCAATAAAATCCATGAATAATAATATTAAATTAAAGACTACAAAACCTCTCTGGACATATAAACCAGAAAATTGCAGGTGTATAAAGTAAGCGAGCAACAAAAAACCCTAATAATTT